CTGGAAGTGAGGTCGGTTCGAAGAAGACTAGATGGACGGCTTTTTCTTTAAACTTGCGCGAAGATTAAAGTTGTGGGGAAGCTTGAGCTACTACTGTCAAGTACTTATTGAGTGTCGAAAAATTGCAGATCCTACTTCCACTTCCACTTGTGCCTTTGCCAATTCACATGATTGTGCTTCTACCTCTGGCTTGCCAGATCTACGAAACAGATAGATACTGAATGACTGTTGTAATAAAAAGCGTAAAAGAGAAAATAATGCAGGGTGAATAGATAGAGACTCAGGAAAGCAACTGATGAATATGCATGGATGCTCACACAGTGTGACATATCCCTCCTCCCTCAGAGACGCCTCATTTATCTCCTCGTTGAGTCTTCCACGTGATCCTGCTCCTTCCAGGGCAAATCTTTGCCCTTTGCTTCCTCCCCCACATCTTCCACAATTTCGACCTCCATCCCATCCCCGTTTCTGCATCATCACCTTCTTGCTTTCCACTATGACCGTCTTTGCCTTTAGTCCTCATTGCTCGTAATGCTAATGCCTATCTGATATAGGCGATTGGCACCCTGCCTGTATGAATTCGTGGCCATGACCAGACAAAGCTAAATAAAAGTCATATTAACTAAGGATTACATTTAGAATCTATGATATTTTCGAAAAATTAGGTTTTAGGGGAAGGAAAGGAAAAGAGGAAGGGAGGAAGAATAGAGGAGGGCAGGAAGATCTTTTTATTTAGGATAATTTTGTTTGCCTCTCTGCCTATGAACAGGATATTTCTAAAAGTTGGATGCTTCCTGGGACGCAGAACATTTCTCTTATAAAATAGCATGAGCTATTAGCCGATCACTGGTCACCGGTGTCGCTCAGATGCGATCAAATTATCAAATCGGGTGAATAGGTCTGCAACCACCTTTACGCGCTGTCAATGATATGCAAAACCTTCAGATGTGTTGATCTTTTATGCTTGGTAGAACCTGGGCAAGGAAATGATACACATTATTGTTGCCTGCAATCCTGAAAATCGGTACTATCTCGATTCCTTAATTGTACATTTCATTAAATGTAAAAATCTTTAATATTCTTACTTCGAAAATTTTCTATGATTTTTAGTT